ATGACAATGACAATGACAATGACAATGACAATGACAATGACAATGACAATGACCCCACTCAATACACCCAACTTCCTGTGCACCGATTATGGGGTATATTAAGTTTTAACGTGTACTTTGTTTGTAATACTCATTGCGGCTGCCCTGGCCTCGGCTGCCCCGACGGCCCCAAGTGCCCGGCTGCTTTGGCTTTGGCTTTGGCTTGTTGTTGTTTGCGGCTGTTCTTGTTTGCATTTGGCAGCAGCGCACGTAACGGCAAATGCCACTGTACCATTCAACACTCAACACTCAGCACTCCACATGCCAAATACAAACAGAGGACCAAAAGAAGAAGCAACACAAATGTGTAGCGCAGGGGGCGGTGGGCGTGGTAGATGAACAACAGTTAGAAGCGGCGCCAGGCGCCTCAGAGACACAGGCGCGAGGCTGAAACAGTCGAAGCCCCAACAGTCGAAGTGGAAGTCGAAGTCGAAGTCGAAGCAGAAAAGTGTAAACAAGAAACGTGATATTTGACAGATGACTGTAGATATTTAGATACCAACATAAATACTACTTATGCCCAATGTCTCTCCACATCGTTCTCTTGCTCCCTCGCTCGCCCGCTCTGCCTACTGTCCCGGGCCTCGCCCCTCTGCCACAGCTGCCACTGTCTCGGGGGTCTTATTGATTTTTTGCTGGCATTCACAGCCACTTGCCGCTTGGTTTGAAGTTCCAGCCACGCATAAAGGACGCAGCCGAAAAGAGACAGCGACAAAGACAGAGACAGAGACAGAGTCAGAAAAAGAGAGAGAGAAAGAAATAAGACACAAGAAATAATGACAGGCAAAAAAGAGACAAACAAGACAAAAACAACACACGCACAATCAACGAATGGAGCACAAAAGAATCGAAAGATGCAAATATTGTAATGGATTCATGTTGTACGTTCTCTTTGTGCTCCTGTGAGTGTGCTCCTGTATGTGTGTGTGTGTGTGTGCGTCTACCACCCACTCGAGCCGCCATCCATCCTGTTCGTCTTCTTTAATTTAACCATCAGCTACACGGCGTATACTTAACATTGGCAAACAGCCACTCAACACACAATTTATTGCTCACTAATAGTAATTAAATTTCATGAAGTTCTCATTGACAACGAACACGCGGCTCTTATTATTTATTGTTGTGCTTCAACTGTTTGTCTTAACGGCTGTAATGCCCTCTAAATTGTGTAATCGGGTATTTTGATGAAGAATGATGACGATGAAACGGAGATGAAATTCAAATTGAAGAAGGTCATTGCGCGTTGTATTAATGCTGAATACATATTTCAAATGGATATATATTCATTGTTTTTATTGGTCAGTTAATTTTCATTAAAATTAAATTAAATCTAATTAAATTAACTCTAGTGTCTTATAAATATTTATATTCTCCTTTTGAATATTATATGTACTCCAATATATGAATTTTTAAATTTATAAATATTACTATTTTTACCAAGACTACATATGGTATATTACATTATGATGCCATACCATACCATACCTCACAGTCCCATCTATTCGATAGACAAATTACTTTCTGTATGGAAGAACACATTCTTTTTGCTTTCTCAGTTTGATAAAGTCGCAGGCAGATAAGTTCATCCACATACGAAAATTAATATAAAGCCCTCTAAATTCACATAATATCCTGTCAAGTCGTTTGCCTACGAGGCTGCTTCGTCAGTTAAAGCATGTCGAGCGTGAGGCTGTGCTCACACCATGTGCAAAACAATTGTCATCGAAAGGGACTTTTAAAAAAGTAATTTTTCAACAATAATGAGTTTCAGTCACTTTCGAAGAACCTTTGAGCTAGGCAAACAATTTTCTGCCAAAGCAAATACAAAACGTCAACAAGTCGGGCTCGATTTGTCGACATACGATTTGTCATTTAATTGCAGTTGAAGTCGTTGTTTATTAATTAATTGCAAAACTTTTGCATGGACAGTAATAGGAATAGAAATAAAAGCTGAGCGTATCCTCACAGCCTTAATTATGTTCGTGGGGCACACGTGGCGTATGCTTAATATGAGATATGAAATTATATAAAATGGAATATTACTGTACTCACAATCGTAATAATCATATCGATCCGCCTCGCTGGGATTATTGCTGCCCATGATTTTGCCAAGAACTGGGAGGAGAAAGAGAATAGGGGAGAATAGAGAGTTGCGAATGCAATTCAATTAAGCGAAAGCAAAGCAAAGCAAAATCGACGCTGAAAGCTTTCCAATCGGAATGCAATTTGGTCTCTCCAAATCTGGATCGTGAACTGCAGATTGAGCATTGCGGATTGGCGGCTGCGACTTTGCATTGGGCACTCACACTTGGCGAAGCTGCGGCGAATGCGAACGAAACACGAGACGGAGCGGGACAGCTGGGTGAGGTCCTCGGGATGGGTGCCGCTCTGGCTGCTCAGGCACAGAATGGGCGCCAACGGTGTGATGCGACAGTGGCTCTGACTGCGACTGCGACGTCGACGCTCCAGCAATGGTATGGCCACAAAGCTGTGCTCCACTGTGCCGCTGCCGCTGCCGCTGCCGCTGCTAGCGCCTGCAACGCCCACGCTCGACTCGACAGGTATGATGTTGCCGTTGTTGTTGTTGTTGTTGCTGCTGTTGTTGCTGTTGTTGCTGTTGTCGCTGCTGTTGTTGTTGTTGTTGTTATTGTTGTTGCTGTGATTGTTATTGTTATTGTTGATGATGGTAATGACATTGACGGTGCCCTGCAATGGGCCAGCGTTGCTCGATGCTGAAACGGGGCAAAACAAAAAACAAAATACGAAAAAAATTATGTAAAATATTCTCATCAATTGCTCGCTGATTTATGATTTAAGCAACAAAAAAGTATCTATATACATATATGGGTAAAAATAAAAAAAAAAAATGTGAAATCGGGAAAGGGAAAATCCCATTTCGCACGCGACGCATCTGTGACAAATTTTTCGCTGTCCCGTGCAATTCTATGCTCTGTTTTTCTTTGTCTTCCTCTACGAGTGTCGTAAATCATTCAAATCTGCATTCAATGTATTTCTATGCTTCCTTTTACTTTCTTTTTTTTTTTTTGTTATGTTTGGGTTGCGGGTAAATGTTTTTTTTTAATCTAGATATGTATGTATATATGTATATGCAAGGCAATCTGCCAAATGGCGCAGAATGCGCACAAAACATAACAAGCATAGCTGAAACTCTATGTGGAAACTCAACAGCTCAAGCGCCAAAAGGGAGCAAAAAAAGGTGAAAGTGTTGGATATGCATGACTGGCGAATGCCCTACGCCAGCTATTAATCGCTATATATGACTCTGATGAAACTGATATTTTATAAGAAGTAAAGAAAATACCATAAATTAAGAGATTGTTAATTGAATAAATGTCGATAAACATATTTTTATGTAATATAATAAAAATTATTTGAAAATATTTATAGATATATATTTTGTATTATTTATTATAATATATATAAATAATAATATAATATATATATTATAATAAATAATTAATAATATATTATAAATATATATAATATATTCTATATAGAAATCCAAGTTTTACGGCACTCAATCTCTCTTCAGCCAAATACCCTTTCATTCACCCACTTCCTCGGCTCTCATCTGCTTGATGTGAGATATTTGGCGAGTTTGTGTCAGTATCTCAGCCATGTTGCCACCTGAAGCGCTTGCTGAACAGGTGCTAAACACAGTGAGCCGACTTATTTGCACCTACTTAGCTGGCTGGCTGTCTGGCTGCCTACCTAGCTGCAGCACATTTGATTTATTTGCCAACAGCTGTCGCCACATTTGCATGTAGACTTTAAAAATATGCCGACCCTTTTCTTGCCCACCTCTCACTCACTCTCTCTCTCTCTCTCTCTCTCTCTCTCGTAGTGCTGGCTGCAGCTGGGTATTTGCTTGACAAACTCTTATTCTAACCGCAGCTAGCTAATTTTTGGCTCGCTGCCATCTGCAACATGGTGTTGGCTGTTGCGGTGCTGTTGTTGGCCATGTTTATATTTGTTGCATCTCGCATATTTCATCGCTTGGCCGGCAATGGCAATTGAATAGATCTATTACTTGTGACATATCTTATTGTTATTGCATGTTCATATATTACTTAACGCTTTCCTCTCTCACTCACACACTCTCCCTCTCCCTCTCCCTCCCTCTCGTTTAAGCTGCTGACATCATCAATGGGTGAGCGGCTCTGCCAGTTCATTTTCATCATTTATTTTATGGCTATTGCAGCGACACACGATTTTATTTCTTATTTCTCTTATTTATTTCGTTTGCTCTGTTTGCCTGGCCGGACCCCCACAAAGAGAAGAATCGAATCGGGGAGCAAAAAGAACAAAACAATTGATTATAAAGTAAAACAAGCCGCATTGCTAAATTTTACGCACAGTTTCCGGACTGCCACGGAGCCTCAGAGTAAAACCAATTGTGCGCCCATCCATCACTTGATGTATTAGCGCAACAACAGCTGCACACACACACACACAGAGAGACTCATCTGTGTGTGTGTGTGTGTGTGTGTGTGCATATGTTTGCTGGCGCGTTGGTGTGTCAATGTCGGCGTCAAAGTGCCAAACAAACTGCCAACTGCTGAAATATAAATCGCACAACAATCTTGTCTGCGTATACGCAATATTTGCTGGCATACTATGTCCTTGCAACCAAATACACACACACACACACACGTACATACACACTCAAATACCCACAAACACACACACACACAAACACATGCATATGCATTTTTAAGCGCACTCACAATGCATTCAACTATTTCAGGACCTTAAAATATCCTGGATATGCTAAAGGCTTGCCTAATTAATTCATGCTAATTTTAATATTATTATAATAATTTAAAAATAATGATTATTATCATAGCTACTAGCATTATTTTTACTTTATTTAGTATTTTTAGTATTATCATTAGTATTTTTCGTTCTCTTTTTATTTACGGCTCATTTTTGCTTCTAATAATTAGTATTCTTCCTTCTTTCATTATTCCTTAATATTTTGCCAAGTGTTTCCCGCTGTTTTACTCTTAATTTATTTTTATTTTTATTTTTTGTTTTCGCATTTTTTATCATAATTTTTTATTTCCTGTTTGTTTTTTCGTCTGCTTTTTTCCTTCAATTCTTCCCTTCCTACTTTCTTTTTCTTTTTTTTTTATATCTATTTTCCTAATCGATTTTGTTCTGTTATTTTTTCCTCTTTTCTTGATTCTTTTTATGTTTTCTTTTCGCGTTTTCCCTTTTTAATGGAATACATCATAATTTTTAATCCTCTTCATTCACTCTTTGTTTTTCTCCTTCTATCTTTGTTCATTTTGTGATATTCGTTTTTCTTGCCTGCTTTCTGCTCCTTTCTCTTTCCATTTGATTCTATATTTTCTTCTGCTATCCATTTCTGCTCCTCTCTCATTTAAATATTTTATATAATATTTCTACCTTTTTGTGTTCCTCCTCCTTTCTTTCTTCTTTTGATATCTTTTGCTTTTCGTTCTTCTCTTTCCACTTTCTCTATTGTTCCATTTCTATTATTCCATTTGTCAGCTCCCTTCTATTCTGATTCTTTCGACTCTTTTCTCGCTTTTCTATTGTTATCTTCACCTCCATTATCAATCAATGCATTTAATATACCCCTTATCCAACTCATCAGCTACTGGGTACAAATAAATTAAACTTTGTTCACAATATTTGCCTTGCAGCTGGCTGAATTCGTGTCTGCCTCTGAGTCCTCCCCTGCCTCTACCTCCGCCTCTGCCTTTCCCATTGGCTTTACCCTTGCCTTTGTACTTCAGCATACCAACTACTCAGCTGAGCTGTGCTGAATGCCGCACGCTTCATGTTTCGTGCATTGTGACTTATTTATGGTAACTGAAGCTTGATCAGCTTACTCTATTCGCGTCGAGATAATTGCGAAAAAGTATTTACTCCCAGCCGCATCCCTTGGGCACATTCAATGAATAATAAAATAAAACTGCATTTCGCGCTGCACACCTCGCTCCAACAATTTATCCGCACACACACACATTTAATTGCCTTCAATATGCTACATTTTGATTTGGACAAATGAGTGCCATAATTAGCTCTAAACTGCCACTTGACGATGCATTTCTGGAGGCGTTAAGTGCCGAGGCTGCCAAATTCGCGGCCCATTAACCAGCGACACAATAAGCGGAAAAACACTCTCGCTGTGCTTAAATATAAAATGATCTAATAATAATGTAGAGGCTGCCTTCGAGCAATTTGTTACGTAAAGCCATGAAATACTACATTTAATCGGATTATGTCGAACTCGAATTGTTAAAAACTAGCTCTAGTCGGGAACTGTCGTGGTACCATATAGGAAAAATCTGCAAAAAGCTACGATTTTAATGTTTTCTAGACGTACTTCAATGTTTTCTACACATAGACTTGTGTATAAATCGTATAGATCTAACATATACCAATAGGTGCTGTACTTATATTATTTGCAATTCCCATTTCATTAGTGATTAATATTACTTTAATTACTATAAAATAATTAAGTTTAAAAAAATTATAATAATAATACCAATAAATATTTTTTTTAAATAATAATAATAATAAATACATATTGAGAGGCAATATATTTTGCTGTTTGTCACTCCGGCGAAGTTTATTCAATATTCTTTTATAAGACCTTAAGTATATTGCCATAGTTTACCAAGGCCTTAAATTTGAACAGAGAGCAAAAGTACTTTTCGCATATTTCTAGAGTCGAGCGCATCGACGTTGGAAATGAAAGAAATTCTATTTGCCCCCTGATACATACAAAATTAATGGAAAAATATGACAGGCTTGACCAACCCTACAAGGCTTTTTTTATACCCTGAACCCATTGAAAATGGGAAATCAGGGTATAATGTTTTTG